GCCTCCGCCCCAACCTGCAGCTGGCCAACATGGTCCAGGTCATCCGCCACCTGCGCCCCGGCCCGGACTCGGGGAGCCTGGGGGGCGAGCACGGCGTCTGCCCCAAACACCAGGAGGCCCTGAAGCTCTTCTGCGAGGTGGACCAGGAGGCCATCTGCGTGGTGTGCCGGGAGTCCCGGAGCCACAAGCAGCACAGCGTGGTGCCGCTGGAGGAGGTGGAGCAGGAGTACAAGGTGAGAGGCTTACATTAAGGGGATATGGGAGTCTGGACAGGAGTTGGCAGGGATGGGTACTTGTTTAATCGTTTTTTGTTAGAGATTTGGGGGCGGGGGAGGGGTTACAGAAGGGAAAGATGAACACACATGGACAAAGGCTGAGGCTGTCTTCCCCAGAGGAAGCTGAGCAAAGACAGAAGCTGACCATTGTCAGTCAGCCTAGGCAGAGGGACAGAGGTAACAGATCCCTAGTATTCATTTCCGTCTGACCCGAGTTCTGAGTTTATCCCTAACCAAGACTCCAGAACTCTGAACACATAGAAATGGAAAGCTGAGGTACTTGAAGATAACAGACTTCTCAGCACAAGCAGAATCAGAACATAACTGGGCTGCTGCGAGCAGCTGGCCATGCCCCACACCAACTGGCCGTGTCCTGGTCACTTTGCTTCCCTGGTGTGATGTAGAGTGAAGGACTTAGGATCAGGTGGCCTGTCTCATCTTAGGCAGGTTTCAACCTGTTAGCGTTACTTTTCCCCTAGGCTTGTTACAATTAAAAGAGATCACGTGTGCCCTGGCCAGTGTGGTTCAGTTGGTCGAGTGTTGTCCTGGGCACCGAAAGGTCACCAGTTCATTTACCGGTCAGGGCATGTGCCGAGGTTGTGGGCTCAATCCCCAGTCAGGGTGCGTGCAGGAGGCAGGCGGTTGATGTTTCTCTCTCTCCCCCTCCCTTCCTCTAATATATATATTAGGGAGAGAGAGAGAGAGATCATGCACGTTAAAATATTTTATAAACCATAAGGCACTAATCAGATGTTTACTTTTATATTTTACTTTCCTTTTTGTCTTCCCTTCTTTGGATTTTGACCTGGTTAATGCCTTGCTTTCTAGTTCTCATTCTGAGTATTAGAAAGTTGATTCAATGACAAAAGTCAGTGTGAATACTAACTTCCTTACCAGAACCTAGGTGATGTGGCCCCTTGCAGTACCCAAGGAAGAAGAGGTTGTCTTCAGGCCCATAAAAGTCTTAACCTGGTGGATATTTAGGAGCAGCTGCTCACATCTCAGTAGTGCTTTACAATTTATAAAATGTATTTCCTCATGTTCTCCTACAGCAGTGATTTTCAAACTGTGGGTTTTCACCATTTAGTGGTTCTTAAAATAAATGAGTCATGCCCAGCATTATTTTAAAACTAAATAGAAAATATCACTGTGCATGGAGCATAGGAAGATATCCTATATAATAAAGAGGTAATATGCAAATTGACCATCATTCCAGCACACAAGATGGCCGCCCCCATGTGGCCACAAGATGGCCACCACAAGATGGCCGCCACAAGATGGCCGCCACAAGATGGCCGCGACAAGATGGCTGCGACAAGATGGTCGCCCCATGTGGCCACAAGATGGCCGCCACAAGATGGATGCCACAAGATGGCCGCCCCCATGTGGCCACAAGATGGCCGCCACAAGATGGCCGCGACAAGAGGGCCGCGACAAGATGGCTGCGACAAGATGGTCGCCCCATGTGGCCACAAGATGGCCGCCACAAGATGGCCGCGACAAGAGGGCCGCGACAAGATGGCTGCGACAAGATGGTCGCCCCATGTGGCCACAAGATGGCCGCCACAAGATGGCCGCGACAAGAGGGCCGCGACAAGATGGCTGCGACAAGATGGTCGCCCCATGTGGCCACAAGATGGCCGCCACAAGATGGCCGCGACAAGAGGGCCGCGACAAGATGGCTGCGACAAGATGGTCGCCCCATGTGGCCACAAGATGGCCGCCACAAGATGGCCGCGACAAGAGGGCCGCGACAAGATGGCTGCGACAAGATGGTCGCCCCATGTGGCCACAAGATGGCCGCCACAAGATGGCCGCGACAAGAGGGCCGCGACAAGATGGCTGCGACAAGATGGTCGCCCCATGTGGCCACAAGATGGCCGCCACAAGATGGCCGCGACAAGAGGGCCGCGACAAGATGGCTGCGACAAGATGGTCGCCCCATGTGGCCACAAGATGGCCGCCACAAGATGGCCGCGACAAGAGGGCCGCGACAAGATGGCTGCGACAAGATGGTCGCCCCATGTGGCCACAAGATGGCCGCCACAAGATGGCCGCGACAAGATGGCTGCGACAAGATGGTCGCCCCATGTGGCCACAAGATGGCCGCCACAAGATGGCCAGCAGGGGAAGGCAGTTAGGGGCAACCAGGTCTGCAGGGGAGGGCAGTTAGGGGCAATGGGGCCGGCAGGGGAGCAGGAAGGCGTCGATCAGACTGGCAGGGGAATGGCTAGGGGGTGATCAGTTGGGAGGGACAAGGCCTGCAGTGGAGGGAAGTTAGGGGGAACCAGGCCTGCAGGAGAGGGCAGTTGGGGGGGGCGGGGAACCAGGCCTGCAGGAGGGAAGTTAGGGGGAACCAGGCCTGCAGGAGAGGGCAGTTGGGGGACGGGGGGGAACCAGGCCTGCAGAGGAGGGAAGTTAGGGGTAACCAGGCATGCAGGGGAGGGCAGTTAGGGGCAATCACGTAGGCAGGCAGGTGAGCAGTTGGGAGCCAGCAGTACTGGATTATGAGAGGGATATCTGACTGCCTGTTTAGGCCCAATCCCACTGGGGTCCCAATTGGAGAGGGTGCAGGTTGGGCTGAGGGACCACCACCCCCCAGTGCACGAATTTCATGCACCGGGCCTCTAATCTACACTAATAAAAGAGAAACATGGTAATTAGCGTACGACCACTACCCCTCCCATTGGCTAATCAGCATATCCTTATGCAAATTAACTGTCAGCCAAGATGGCGGCCGGCAGCCATGCACTGAAGCAAACAGGGAGGCTTGCTTGCTCCAGTGACTGGCGGACTCCAACGTTCCCCGCCTGACTTGCCGGCCTCTCAGCTGCAACTCTAAGCAACTATGTAGCAAATATAGAAGCTAAACAAAACCCCGGAAACCGGCTTTCAGTCAGCCGGGCTTCAGCCAGCCGGACCGAAACATTGTATCAAATACAGAAGGTAAAGGCCAGAAACCTGCTTTCAGCAGCGAGGCCTCAGAGCTAAAGCTGGCCCAGAATAGAAAAAAGAAAA